TAGCTCAGTAAATCATCAGCAAAAAGTTGTAGGGTGTTCAGTACTATGCAGTCTGAACCACCTGAAACCACTCCAAAATGCATATCACAGAAGGGGAAAACTTTTAAAGAAGAGCTAAATAGCAAAACTCCTAAAATCTTTTTTATATGCATTTAAGGCTACGTTGCCTAATGGTTTTGATAGAAATCAGAATGCGTATAGGTCCCTCTAGTGGTGTGAATGGGAGAAAGCATAGAAACATTGTGAACATTGAAATCATAAATACTGAATGATTCGTATGCTGAAGGCCATTGGAATACAGCTTTAGCATTGAATAGTTCTTCTAAATCTACGTATTTAGAGGTGATGGGAAATTTCTAATATTACTCCAGTTTTGATGGTAATACCTGTTACGTGAAAATGATAACAAAAATATTTAAGCAAATATGTAGTTGGCTTATTACAGAAAGTTTGTAAGGAATTCTTTTTATGAAAAGAAAAAGGATTCCTTTTGGTTCAGCTTCCTTTTTTTTTTTTTTTTTTTTTTCTTAGAAGAGAAACAACTCCTCTGGTGGACTTGTGCACCTTAGACTTCAGTTGTCAGTTCAATCATATGATAAGAAAGGTCCATCCTCTCAATCCTCCCAAATATTCTTTTGTTCCCTTTTTTGTTTTTTTTTGTTAGTGGCAGTGATATCTAAGATCCCCGGCATAACTTCTGTTGTGGATAATTTCCTATTTTCCTATTTGAGGGAAGAAATGTGAGGTAAAGTTCTTATCCTGGATAGCCTTGTTCTGAGCAGGAACCCACACGAGGCTGAGGGCTGAAGGGTTTTGCTAGGGTTTAAGTTTTTTATAATTAAAAAAAATAAGATATCATTCTTCCTTCTGTTGTAATTCATTGCTATGCAAGAGGTGAAATAATTTAAAAATTCTGAAAATATATCAGTATTTCATAGAAAATGCTTCTATAGGCAATGATTTTGAATTTTCTTTTCCCTACGTTTTGTATTTTGATTTGCATGTGAGAAATTAGGTGTTAAATATCCCTGTACAGTGTAATAAGGTTGTTTCCTTTAGCTTTTCATGAATTACAGTACACTAAGAGTAGGAAACTTTTAGAAGAGATTAAAATAGAATTTAAATCTGTTGCCTTAAAACACCTTTTTTGGTTTTTTATTTTCTTGGTGTTCATGCGTAACATTAATTAAAATAACTGAGATTTAGAAACAGAAGAATTCCCTTTTTTCCCTTTATTTTAGAGAAAGATTTTTTGTCTCATACCAGTTTCTCATTTAAGATGGTTAGAAACAAGAATATAACTATCTTAATAAAAAATAAATTGGAAGTTACAAATACATTGGCTGGTATTCCGAATTCAAGTAGGGAGCAAAGAGTTAATAAAGCAAGGATGTCCTAGTGGAGTTGCTGCTTATGAGGCACAAAGATCTGCAGTTTGTCTTTGGTTCCTTGTGTCCAAGCCACTTCCAAGTCTTGTAGCTTCCTTCTTAACATTTCAACATCCTTCAGTCCCAGGTCTTAAGAGCATAAAATATTATTATGTATTTATTTTCTCCTTTTAGTTTGCCCTTATGCTGTCCAGCACTTGAGCGTATGGTCAGTTTTGCACATTATAAAGGCATTTAGCACATTGAAAGCTCCAAATAAAGTGAAGGGCATTCATTAAAAAAAACCAAACAAACTATGAAGCAGGCTGGTCTTAGCAAATGTAATGCCCTCTTTGCCTTAATCTTGTGTGAGTACACAACAGCAGCTTGTTTTTTGTGGAGCTCCCGAAATTCAGATCAAGTTTCATTAATTGCGTGTTTAAAGGGAATAAGCTTTCCTGTTGTGCCAGGAGGTAAAGGCCACATTTCCCCTGCACACGCAGCATCATTCGGTTCGCCAGTCCTTCCCCTGAGCTCGGCTCTGTTGGCTCCCACAACGCGGGGTTGGTCCTTCCCACTTACCCTGCCCCGAGGAAAGCTGTGGGCAGGGATGCTGCCCATGCTGCGGCAGCTTATGAACCCCCTTCTTTGAAAGCTAGCTATTTTCTTTTTCAGCCTTCTTTTTAAATTAATTGCCTGTCAAACCTCCACATCTGACTCACCTATCTTGAGTTGTCCTTAGCATATATTTATCTGTTAAAGAGAATAATCCCCTTCAGGATTGCTGAAGTCTGCCTGAGTCAGGTGTTCTGCAGTTGCAGGGCTGTATGAACATCGCTTTGCTCGTTTGGAAGTTATGCTAATCATTGCAGATCTAAATGACAAGGCAGTTGGGCCAAGCTGTTATTATTTCCACGCAAACTTGAGATATATATGTGAAATAGTTGTAGCTGCATTGCTGGCCAGAGGCTGGAATGAAGTAGGCTTTGGTCTTGCTCGTTTATGTTACACCAGCTGCAACAGAACTGTTTTGTAACCTGGAGTAGAAAAAGTAGGATTGCTGTGTAAGGAAGGTAGTTTCTGATCTATACGAATGGATGATCTATAGGGTTTTTTGTGTTTTTTGTTGTTGTTGTTTGTTTTTAATGAATGTCTCGTTAGTATGTTATGAAGTAAATCAGGATTGTACTTTCCAATAACCACACTTCTCCGTTGAAAGCCTTGCTGGCAAAATCTGTTGGATGGCCTATGAGACTGTGAGACTTAGCAGCATGACAGTGGAAATAGCTTCTTGTAACTATAGATTTGTAAAAGACTAGTTACGATCAAGAAAGACTTTATAATTCTGAAGAGTGATGGTTTCTCCTACTAAAAGACGATCAAGAAAGACTTTATATTCTGAAGAGTGATGGTTTCTCCTACTAATATGTTTTGCTGAAATTCTGAGTCTAGATTTTGTATTTGAACTTGGGGACAGCTTAAGTCTCTTGTGTTAATTCAATCTTCTGTTATTTCATTTTGAACCTTCAGTTGTGAAATTTGGATTTTAAGGGGTTGGGTGAAAACTAGGGGGAAAAGGGAATAGGGGAAATTCCTAGTTGAAACCTTCTATCTAAAGGCAGGAGCACTATATTGCATTTCTTTTTTCCTTCTGTGTCTTGCTGGATTCGCTATGGCTTATACTCTGACCTACTAAAAGAAAACTTCATTAGAAATAGTGGTAGAGTAACACAGCACAACAGAACCTATTTATTTAGTTGCCTCCTGGATGCAAGAATGTTGTTTTGTAAGCAAACTTCTCTCATGTGGTACACCCATTTGCATAACTGTGATTTATGTGTATTGGCATCAGTGTCTTCAGAAGAAATGTCCTTAGTTGTGATGACGGAGGAAAAAAAAACCCACAGCTGAAGTTGCCTGTGTTACCTCTTTGAAATGATTGGGAGCTTGGGTATCTTAGTAGACTGCCCAATGTGTTTCAGGCAAGCCTGAAAAATTATACTAATTTTGGCAATATAATCCCTGTTAATGCAGACTCTCACTGCATTTTATTTGTTGTTGTATGTTACTGTAATTGATTTCCATACTATTGAAAGACATTTTATTACCATAAATGTACCAAATGTACAATTACCAAATGTATTAATGAGAAGGTGTAAAACAGTAAGGTGGAAACCTTTGCTGGGGTAGGAATGGTAGATTTTCGTCTTGGCTGATGTGGAACTAAGCTGCTCTTACTGGAGGTCACTGAGGTTTTTAATTCAGGCTATTAATAAGTTGTTTGTTGAGTGCACAGTTGTGGAATAAGGTGTGCACTGAGTGTCTCTTCACTTGTCTTTGATACGTCTGGAAGGACCAGACCCAGGGCACTGGGTTAAGAATAGAGCTGGAACGCTGTACTGCAAACGCTGGCACTTGCTCTGTCCCTGCTGCCAGCTTTTAAAGGTTAAAAACTTTATTCATTCCAAAACTGTCCATTTTATATATATATATAATAACCTTTTTGGATTAGAAGCTGTATTTGCAGCAAACCAGAGTCTTCCTGGGTAGACTCTGTAATGGGCTGGTAGGTAAAACTAGTTGCCTAGTTTAGATTAAGTGGCTTAATAATTAAGGACCATAGTTTTTGCTTTTAAAAATCAGTCTAATTTTCACCTGCTTTTAATACACCTTTTTCACAGAAGGATGGGAGACCTGTGTAATAGACTTGGGCTTGTGTGGATTTTAAGGACATGTATTTTTGGTGAAAAGCATGGGTCCATCAACTTCCATGAACATGGATAATGTCTTCACTCTTTTTTTTTTTTTAATTATTATCTTTTTTTATGTGACACTGTTTGGGCAGAGTGATAAAATATCCATATTATGAACTGTCAGTTGTAGAAAATTGCTGTTGAGAGTATAACAAATGAAAATATAAAATTGTAAACTAAAGTCAGTCCTTTGAAACTTAAACTGGTTAACTTATTAAAGGTGAAGTAAGATATTCGGACTGTTCTTTGTGAACAGGCTAAAAACTTTTTGTATTGATTTAACTGTACTGAGTAAAGGAATTATGAGTAATGTGAAAGTAAATGTGGGGCTTGTTTTGCAATCAGGAAGAAAAATATGTGCAAAAGCACCTAAATGACTTGAGGGTTTTTGAAACTTTGCCAGCACCTTCTAAACTCTGTATACAAGTTATTTGTTGATGTTCAAAACATTCTTGTAACTCCTGCATTAATTCTGCGTTACTTCTGTATATATTGTGTGTGATTAGCCAGGAGCATAGGTTGAATATATTTACAGGAGAGCATTTTTCCCCCAAGAACCTGTTTGCGATACTGTGTGTTATACAACTTCCATTATAATTCTGTCATAACAATAACAGTGTTCCTTAGAATAATGTTTTATTTATATTTTATGCATTTATTTTTTTTTCACTTGATGCATAAATAAGCTTTTATTTATAAGCCATGGCTAAGTGCATTTTATTAATAAAGATCTCTGTTGGTGTTACGTTTGATTCACCAATATCAAATATTGGTAAAAATAAATAAATAAGAATTTACAGCACATTTATTTTACCAGGCTTCTTTGAGCAGCTTTTTAAAATGTTACTTTTGAGTATTTATTTTCTTTTTTCTTTTCTAGCAAATTCTGAGATTGAAGTGTCTGTTTCTGCGAGAAATGTCAGAAGGTTGCTTAGTTTCCAGCGATACCTGAGATCTTCCCGTTTTTTCCGTGGTATCACTGTTCCAAATTCCTCAAATATTTTAGATGATGATTACAATGGGCAAGCAAAGGTTTGTTGGTTTTTTTTTTTTTTCTCTCTCCTTATATATTCAGTAGCATGCATTTATCTCATGGTAAGAAATAGTGTAAGCAATGTAAATTCTGTGTATTCTTTTTGTATGTGTGCATATGTGTGTGTATAACACATTATATATATATATATATAAAACATATGTGTGTGTGTATATATATATATATAAAACACACGTTCGAAATAGTCCTCCTCTTGAGGTGATTTCTAACAAATTCCATCCCTTCCCCTCAAGGCTTTTGGGCTGATCTTTAGGGCTTATGTGGCTGGCACTCTCTAGAAGAGAAAAGCTGTAACATAGCTGTGCTGCAATGAAGTAGAACACTGTCCTGGGAAGATGGGCAGTACTAATAAAATAACTGTTATTTGGATGCCATGCTGGCTGCTGTGGACCGAGGATGGGTAGTGCTGAAGTGGAGTCAGCAAGATATGTTCCCAGGAATCAACTGTTCATGATCCCAAAGACTGTTTCTTGATACTGACTGTAAGTGGGACCAGGCTATGGGATAGGAAGAATCTGAGAATTGGGAAGGAGGGAACTAAAAATATACTTGTAATTTGACTGTAGCAGGATCTTGTTAATGTCATTTATTTCTTCTGATAACTCTGAATTCTCTAGTGTCTCTGAGCATGTGGAGGACCAGAAGGTGATCAGGAGCTATCAGCGTGGATTCACTGAGGGGAGATCACACTTAGCCAAACTGAAAGCCTTCGCTGGTGTCATGACTGGCAGGCTCGATGAAGGGAGAGCTGTGGATGTTGTTTACCCTGACTTCAGCAAAGCCTTTGACACTGTCTCCCATAAAATCCTTGTAGGCAAGCTCAGGAAGCCTGGGTTAGATGAGTGGACAGTGATGTGGATTGAGAACTGGCTGAAAGGCAGAGCTCAGAGGGTCGTGCTTAGTGGCACAATGGGAGGCTTGTAGCTACCAGTGTCCCCCAGGGGATAGTACTGGGTCTGCTCTTACTCAATCTCTTCATCAATGACCTGGATGAAGGGGCATAGAGCACCCTCTGCACACTGGCTGATGGTTCAAGCTGGGAGGAGCGGCTGATACTCCAGAGGGCTGTGCTGCTTTTTAGAGGGACCTGGACAGGCGGAGAGATGGGCAGAGAGGACCTTCATGAAGCTCAACAAAGGCAAGTGCCCCTAGGGAAGAATAACCTCATGCACAAGGGCAGACTGGGGGCTGACTTGCTGGAGAGCAGCTCTGCAGAGCAGAACCTAGGAATCCTGGTGAACAACAAGTTGACCATGAGGCAGCAGTGTGCCCTTGTGGCCAAGAAGGCCAGCGGTAACCTGGGGTGCATTGGGAGGAGTGTTGCCAGCAGGTCGAGGGAGGTGATTCCCCTGCTCTACTCAGTCTGGTGAGGCGACATCTGGAGTATTGAGGGCAGTTCTGGGCTCCTTGATAAAAAGAGGGACAAGATGCTACTGGAGAGAGTTCAGCGTAGGGCTACAAAGATGATTAGAGGACAGCAGCATCTGTCCTATGAAGACAGTCTGGGAGAGCTGGACCTGTTTAACCTGGGAAGACTGAGAGAGGATCTTACCAGTGTGTGCAACTACCTTAAGGGAGGGTGTCAAGAGGATGGGGCCAGACTCTCTTCTGCGGTGACCAGTGACGGGACAAGAGGCAACAGCCACAAACCGAAGCATGGGAAATTCTACCTGAATTAGAGGGAGAACTTCTTCACTGTGAGGATGACAGAGCAGTGGAACAGGCTGCCCAGAGATGTGGAGTCTCCTCTGGAGATCTTCAAAACCTGCCTGGATGTGATCCTGTGCAGCGTGCTCAGGGTGACCCTGCTTGTCAGGGAGGATTGGACTAGGTAATCTCTAGAGGTCCCTTCCAACCTCAGCCGTCCTGTGATTCTGTGAGTTTGTGGCTGGTGGAGAAAAGCTAGAACATAGTATCTGGATCACAAAACAACTCTACCAGTCTGTGAAGAAGGCAAGTATTTATTGCTAAACTTGCTGGAGAGCTAGTTCTGGTAGAGGTGGGAGTGGCAAAGATTGTCACTGTTAATCCCTGGTGAGGCCTAGAATGTTATTTGTGGTTCTCATTCTTCAAGCTTGCAGAAGGAAGAGTTCATGTGGAGCAACTGCAAAGAAGTGCTAGCTGGATGAGTTGGAGAGTGAAGAGCTGGTTTCTCTGGAAGGAATTAAAAGCTTGTCTTATTTGTATAGTAAAATATATAGATTTCTTGCTTTTCTGAGAAAGAGAAGTTAGGATAAAGGACTACACATAAATTGGACATTAATGAAGTGAAGAGGTTAGGAAGTGGGAGATCTAGAACAAGCTCAGAGGAGCTCGGGTGACTCTAGAAGATTTCTGATTGGGTTTTGTGATCTGTGCATTTACTAACATGGCTATATGAAATGTGAGTGTGCGCCCCGACACAGGTGTCTCCACTTTTTCCTTTCTTTCCCAAATTTGCACACAGTAGAGTTACTTTGTTATATTCTTTCTGGTTTTATCTAATTTAAAAGAATTAGATAACATGTAATGGAAGATAGTTGCAATTCAATGTACAATTACAATATCAATATCAAAGTAATTGAAAACAATTTTACATCTCACTACAATTAAGAAATTGCCTAAGTGATAAAAGGAAAATCTCAAACTTCTTTGCATAGTACTGTCAAGTCACTTCTCATATTTCAGTTTGTAAAACTAATTTTAAATTTAAAACCTTGAAATTTAAAATGAAATTGTATCTTTTGACTTTCAGACAAACTTAATGATTCTTTTAAAGCTGTTTTTTTGAACATAGAAATTCTAAGACTTGCATCTGTCACTGAAATGTCTAATACTGCTCTGGGCTAAGGGCAAATATAAACATACTAAGAAAAAAGATAACAACTTTTTTGTTTTCTTTCAGTGTATGCTGGAGAAGGTTGGAAATTGGAATTTTGATATTTTTCTTTTTGATAGACTGACAAATGGTGAGTTTACTTTTGTTATTTCATATACTTTTGCCATTTCATATATTTATTTCTTCTAACACAATAGAATGTACCTTTTGCTCTTGTGCTGTGGCATGTGATTGATTGTTTACTAATGAGTATAAATTTCATCAGGTTGTACTTTTTGATTTAAAAGTCTTTAAATTATAGTTTGCCTGTCCACTCTGTTAAAATGCCATTGCTATTGGTACTGGTGATAGTCATTAATTTGTATAATAGCCCCATCCTATACTTTCTGGGTTGCTGTTTCTTTCTTTTTTTAAAAAAAAATACTTTTGCAAGATTATAAGTAGTAATTTTGATGTAAGTTAACAAATAAATTTGCTTATTTAGTGATTTAAAAAAAAAATCTAGAAGGCTGTTAATATATCTGGCTGTGTCCAAAATGTCTCTCTCACTGAACAAACGCAGAAAAAGCAGATCTGTGAATGTGCTGGAAAGTAACGGGGCTGCCGTAGGAATAGGGTTAATTTTATATTGCGGTAGGCAGCAGCGCAGACGGAGCTTGAACGGGAGAGGGGAGACCAAGGAGGCATTTGGGAGAGCGGCCGGGCCGGCGCTTGGAGCCGGCCGTGAGCGGGAAGCAACTCCGGATCAGTTGGAGTTGGGAGCAGAGATGCAGTTAGAGCATTTGAAGTTGGCAAAAACAAACAGCAACGGAGTTCAGAAGTAATAAGTAGCCCTAAAGGATAGCTGTCTTCCCTGATTTGTTGAAGGGATGCTTGGCTTAACCTAATGTAAAAATAAAGTCCTTGCAGTTTGATTTGATGCAGAAAATTCTTATATAAAAAGTGCGCAATAAAGATTTTTACAAGTACCGTGTTAGGTAGGTAACCTATAACTTTTAGAGTAGTTAAAACTGAATGAAAAAGGCTATGAGCTAAGATAATGTGTGCAAGAGTGGCTTATTTCACATTGGTTTGTCACCTGGGAGTAATCTGAAATCATCCTTTTTGTACAAGGTTTTCTGAACCTGTTATATTTTTTTTTTTAATACGTTTTAGTTACTGTCAGTACAATTTCTCTTGTGGATGCCTTTCTATCATCTTTGCATCCTATCGTAGTTATTGGAAGAGAACATTTTAAGCAGCCAGTTTTGTACTTTAAATTTTTTGTGAGGAATGCTGCCTGTAGAACTGCATGATGAGCTGCCCTGTACAAGTCTGTAAGAAAGAAGCCACTGACTAAACGTTGGAAGAATTGTTTATTTTAGTGCATGTGGGAATTGCCATGCACAGGCAAATACTTGAAGGCTGATAATAACTGACAATATGTGGCAGAAATTTTTGTCTTTTTGGACCTCAGTTCTGTCTGTGGTAGGTGCTTTAAATCCTGTTAAATGAAGACCGTCAGAGTAAATGCACCAAAACTGAGTAATCTGTCACTACATGTTGTTTGTGGTGTGTTTCATTTGCAACCTATTTCTTTCTGCCTCTTGCAATAGCATAATAAGTAAAAATGTGATAGTAATATTAGAGCTACCAGTGTGCAAAATATAATGTAATCTTTCAATAGTACTAAATTCCTAGAAAAATGTATTTTTCCCCTCAATTTCCAGTGAGATAAGAGATATGTAGCAAAATACATGATGAAATTATGAGGTAGCATGTGTACAGTTTACACTGATTGACAGCATTTGTTAGCATTTTTTTTCTTTGCCTGATTATTTTCTATTTCTCTTCAAGCTGCGTATCCGTTTATAAAAAAATACGGTGTGATATAGCAAAAAGGTTGAATTCTGTTTGTATCAGGGCTGCATGTTGAAACCTGGGGCATTTTTGACATTTCCCTTCTGTTGGTCAGTGTACAATACTGAGGACTTTTGGAGGAAGCAGTTGATGGAATCACATTATATGATAAATTTCAAATTATTTATCATGAATTTGTATAGAGAAGTTTACTTGTATAATTTTTGTGGCAATTTTTTTTGAAATACATTTCTTATGAAGAGTAACTGATGTCATGACTTCCAATGAATTAGTATTTTCATCTTATTTTTAGGAAACAGTCTAGTCAGCTTAACCTTCCATCTGTTTAATCTTCATGGACTAATTGAACACTTCCAGTTAGATACGATGAAACTTCGTAGATTTTTGGGTAAATACAGCTTTTTGTTATGGTGAATATTGATGTTTATCTGCATTTTAAGTTATTAATGAAAGTGCTGGTTAGAGTTTAGCAATATGGGTTGAAACCTACTAATGCAGTCCAGATTGTGCAGTTATTTAAAGAAGTATATTGTTTTAAACAAAATCTCTCAGGAGTTTCTATGAGTATTGAAATCTCATATTAAATCCAAAAAGGTATTAACAAGCTTAGTAGTTTCTTAGCAGATGCTGTATTATTTTTATATGAATCTAAATCATCAGGAATATATGTGAATTCCTTCATGTGATTTTGAGGGGAGGAAAGGATAGTCATTTCTTAGTTCTGATTTTTCAGTTCAGTTTTAGCATTTGTTTGGGAACAAAGATAACAGTTTCCTAACTATAATGATATATAATGAATGACTATATGGCTACCTTGGTCATATTACCTGTGCCAATGTGATGCTGCATCTCTCTTGTCCAAACTCTTGCACAAATATTCACTGTCCTCTGGGCAAGCTTTTTCCACAGGTGAAGGGACAGAATTTTTGGGCCTGTATCAGTGAAATGTCTTTATGGAAAGAACTGTAAATACGATGGGGAATATGCAAACCAAGTGTTGCCATCACTTGACACCTGATGGAGCTGTCTGCACCCAGATATCAGTCGTAGACCCCGATGGGATGATTCCTTCATTCTGGTTACCTATGACTCTGCCTTTTTTCTCTTCTGTGGAGGAGGATGCTAATTCTTAACTGAGCCAGGAAACAATATATATGTATATATATATATATATATATATTATAAAGCCTGTTATTTAGCAGAGGAGAAATGATGTTCAGAAGGCTTTTTTCCTCTTTCAAGTGAGAGGACTCTTTTGTTTTCACCATTGAGTTCTTTCTGCTTTAGAAATTTTATCGGTTTCTCTGTACTGTGCTTCATGTTTTAATGTACTGATAAGCACTGGAAGATGCAATCTGGTCTTAGGCTGTTCAGTATATTTTACTTGGTCCTCTTGCTTATCTCTTGGTTAATTTTGATCCAGCAAAAGAGATTATTTGACTTGAAAGTCCTATTAGGAATAACTGGATTAGTTTGCTAGCTGTCAAAACATAACAAAACTCTAAGAAGCTGTAAGCCACTAAAATAAGATTAGGTTGGTGGGAAAAGGCAAAACTTTATTCTAGAATTGGCCACAGAGCCTTCTACTTAACAGCAGTACAAAAGCATTTATTCACCCTATCCTTGCACATCTGTTCATTTAAGAAACCAGATGCTGCCTCTTAGCATGAGCTTACATCATTCTCTTCTTTTGATACATTTTCTACCTGGTCCAAAGTAATCTGACGACAAAATACAGAAGACCAGGACAGCTCACATGGTGCTTATAGCCTCATGGAGGCCACTTCTAGCTTGAGAATTGCTGGAACCTTCTTTTTTTTTTTTTTTTTTCTCCTTTTGAAAAGGATGCGGTGGATTGTTTGTTTGAGCGAGGTTGGTGGATGAACTGTATTCGGTCAGGAAACTCTTATTTGAAGGCTTGCTGGGAAAAGCTGATGCGTTTTATCAGGCACAACTCTCCAGTGTGGAATATACTTGGGTTGCTGTGCTTCACATCTTCTTCCCCTCCTTCTTTTAAAATCTGACAGTTCTTTTACCCACCCCTGCACTCTAATTACTGTGGATGCCCCTTGAGACATTTAACCTATAATACTGAAGGATGGCCAAGAGGTTGGGGGATAGAGGAGGAAAGGAAGGAAGGTTTTTAGTAGAGAAGGTAAATCTTGGAGTGGTTAAACAGACCACCATCTAAAAGAGGTTCTTTTTTAAATTGCATATAGGCCTAAGTTTGGTTGAGTACAAGTATCAGAAGATGCCCAAACTGTGTGTAGAGGTGGCCTCCCCTGACCACTCTTCTGAAGGGGAAAGAAAAACACTTCATATGACAGTAAAGCAGTGCCTACTTCCTCTGGCCCTGTCTGTTTTCAAGGCAGCCAGCATGGTATGAAGTCATCCTGATGTTCTGGTAAATAGTGTCATCTTCATTTTGTATTCCAGGGTCCTCAACGTTCAGGCAGGCTAGTTTATCAAAGGGAATCTTTCCTGGGAAGTTCTCAAAGTATTTCAAAATATGTGTTGATTTCAAGTTGCATAAATTTCACTCTGAGATGATTTTACATAGCGTTGTTTTCTTTTAGAAAATACTGTTTCTTCATATAAAGACATTTTGTACCAAGGTGTCAAGTTCATCAACTTTGACACTCATTTGTGCATAACTTGTGATATTGTGTAATATTTCTATGCCTAAGAATGATGTATAAAAGGGCACATGAAAAGATGCTATTTTATTTAAATTTGGATATTTGTTATTTTCCTGCAGTTATGGTTCAAGAAGATTATCACAGTCAAAACCCTTACCATAATGCAGTTCATGCTGCTGATGTGACTCAGGCCATGCACTGTTATTTGCAAGAACCTAAGGTAAGGGAGCGTTGTCAGTTTTACACTGCATGTAAATTTAGAAACATATGTGTTTATTTTTGTGTATACATGTATGGTTTGTGTGTGCACAGAGACACACGATAAATGTGTATATGCATACACACACGCATGCACACTTTTTACAAAAAGGAACTTCCCTCCAACTTGGAAACTTCTGAAATGGAGGGAGAAGCCGCTGTGCTGCTGCTGTGGAGCTTTCACACTTGGCACTGGGCCCTTCCCTTTCACCTCCCCTGGCGTGGTGGTGGCTTTCGTGTTATTTCATCATGAACCACACTAGGGAATTAGAACTGCAGCTACCTAACATGCCACCGTGCCCAAAGACATTTATGTAGACATTTTTGCAGCCTAACTCAGAGATGGCAATAGTAGGATTAGAGGATTTTTTTTTCCAGAAACTACCATTTCTCTTGCTTTCTTCATCTTTGGTGTTGATGGATTTGTGTCAAAGGCACAGTGCAGCAAAGCATCGAGAGTTTTCCCTTCTCTTGCCTTCCCTTCCTCCCTCCCTCCCATATGGTTTGGAAGCTCAGAGCATTTTTGATTAATATTAATTAAGAAAGTTTGGAAGCGCTTCAGATACGAGTGTAGCCTCTGTTTTGGGGGGCACACAGAGCTCAGCTCAGCTGGTTCTGCCGCGTTACGCGCGGTAGAGGCGGGCGAGAGCTGCCTGGCAGCCAGGGTGAGGGCAGCACGGGCTGCTCTGCTTGCAGGCTGCTGCTTGGGAACGCTGTGCGCGCAGGACCGTCCTCTCAGTTTTAGCAAGGAGGTTAGTGTGTGCTGAGTGAAAAATCCCCAACCAGAAAGAAAAACAGTCAGGAATAGTGGAAATGAGGCCAGGCAGTTGCACATTTAGTTAGTCACGTACATGTTTATTGGAAATAGGGGCTGTTAGTTTATGCAGATCTTTCCTTCTTTAGTTCCTTTCCCACTAGAATTAGAAATGAGATTTTGAAGAAGAGTAGAAGGCAGTTCTGAACAGGTCTTGAGGTTTCTAGGACATTGGTTTCTTCCTTTTAAAATAAAGGGTTTTTTAATTATTTTTTTAAATGTCTTGAACTGTTTTAAACTGTATTTAAAGTAGAATATTCCCATATAGTGAGACTTTGTAAATGAGATGGACAGCTAATTTTAAGAATTCAGTGTTCGCAGGATCTTCTTACAAAGAGCACTTCATTACCAGACAGAAACTAGTATGTTCTGTGGTTAAATCTTCTCGTGCATAAGGAATAATGCTTAAGCCATTGTTGGAATGCTTGCAGTTTTTTAGGGGCACACTTCGCTAACAGAATGACATTTATTATTATTATCTTGCAGCTTTCCCAATCTTTAACTCCATGGGATGTTCTGCTCAGTTTAATTGCAGCTGCCACACATGATTTGGATCACCCAGGCGTCAACCAACCTTTCCTAATTAAAACAAACCATTACCTAGCAACTTTATATAAGGTAAGTAGGAAATTAGTTATTTTGTTAGAATCAGATTTGCGTGTGAGGACTACTGAAAAAATGTAATATCCTTATCTAGATGTAGGTTTGAACCTATAGATTGTTTCCGTGGTACTGGGATAGAATACGCGCAAGCTAATAAAGTGTTCTGAGTTTTTGAGTTATTTTTTAAACATCTTATTTTGAAAAACTGTGTGGCACAGCGCTTAATTTTAGCTCTGTTTAAAAAATCCTGTTGATTGATTGATGCCTCTACTATTATTTTTATTTGCAGAATACCTCAGTATTAGAGAACCATCACTGGAGATCAGCAGTAGGGTTGTTGAGAGAATCTGGCTTATTTGCACATATGTCATTAGAAAACAGGTATGTTTATACAGCATTATGTAGATTAGTTTAAGGTCCAAGTTAGCTGACAGCTTTGCACAGCTTAAATTATTGCATGGTAATTCATAATTACATTTTGTATTCAGATCTATTTTAAGAGATCCTGGATACCACATTGCTAGAGCAGTTCGTGGTGCAGTATGCTTGGAAAATAGCATGTACTGTGAGCACATTGAAGATGTGTATTCATGTACTCAACCACCTGTTTAGATTGAACTTGGCAGCCTTTTCTAATTCTGTCACCCCAATGTAATTAAAAATTTAAAAATTTTAAATATAATATTTTCACCTACTTTAACTATAAATTAACAGTAAACAATGAGTTTGTTTGAAAAAGAGACAGGAAAAAAATTTTAGTCTTCCTGAAAGCTGCTTATGAAATGTCGCAGTATTTCAATAAATGTTGTACAACATTTTCAAAGAAAATTTAGAAGAAATACCCTGAGAATGCTGATAGAAGCCATTACAACTTGCATGAGTGTAATGCTGAACATGATATAAAGACATGTTAATCTAATGCTGGTTATTTTTCTTAATTTTCATGCTTTTGGACTGTTCGGTATCGCTAATTTCAGGCAGCTGATGGAAAGTCAGATAGGTGATCTCATTCTTGCCACAGACATCAGCCAGCAAAATGAGTATCTGTCCATGTTTCGATCCCATTTGGATAGAGGAGACCTATGTTTAGAGGATGCAAATCATCGTCACTTCATTTTACAGGTGAATTTTTTTTAGTAATACTTTTTAAAACACCTTTTTTAGCTTCAAAAATAATTTACTTAGAATGCTAAATACTTCTCTCTGGCTGTCTTGAGTTTCTGAAGTGACGTAGAAACGTCTTTTTATTACAAGAAGGATTGTTCTCTGCATTTTTGTCCTTCCTCTCTAACTCTGCAGCACTTGTCCCAAGCAATGCCATGTGCTGGTAAGTCTGGTAACTTGGAGCTACCAAAGCAAGGAGGGATTTCTTTCCAAGACAAGGGTTAGTTGTTCTGATGCCTCCAGTGGAGTCTCAGAACCATGAAATGCTTCAGCAGAACATAGTTCAGGAGAAAAAGTATTACGGTGTTATAGTACCTAGGGTTTTTTTACTGTACTAGAAAAAAGGTTTAGTAACTTTGGAAAACCAAAGCCTTGAGAAAGTCTGCTAGAGTTCACAGAAATTTTTCTTATTAGGCTCATTGTGTTAACTGTAAAAGAAAGTGAACAAACAGGTCAGAAGTTCCGTCCCATACAAACCATTACAGAAAAAGGAGAAGCCTGAGCGTTACACAGAGAGTTAAACGGTGTCACAAAATACTGTTTGCTTACTTTTGATTACTTTGACATTTCCTTTTCTGAGTTTATTATTGTCTTCTGCATTAGTGAATAAAATCAGTGAATCACTGAGTTAAATTCAGGGGCACTGTATTCACTTTTTTGACTGAATTTCCATATTACTCAGAGCTCATCATGAGACCTGATAGTTTCCTAAGCCTTTTTTTTTTTTTTAATGTAACATAGAACATAATTTTAGGAGAAAGTACTGGTAGGTAGGTTTGTTATTCCCAAAACTTAAACTAATCTGCTTTCAGGGAGTAAGTAAAAATGTTTCTTTTGGATAGAAAGAAGTAAGTCAGGCAACCTAACACTGTGTGTTAACTTGCTAGATGGCTTTGAAGTGTGCTGATATTTGTAATCCATGTCGGACTTGGGAGCTGAGTAAGCAGTGGAGTGAAAAAGTAACGGAGGAATTCTTCCATCAAGGCAAGTAAAGAGTAGAAGTGCTCTGATCTGCTAATAGATATGTATACACATTGAGAAAAGAGCCCTCATGTATCATAAGTGCTTGCAATTAAAGGGATTATATTTAGGACTAATAGAGATTTACCAGACAGTATGTGGGATATTTTTTTTCAGTGGGGGTGTTTCTTGCAAAAGGTTGGTGGTGCTAACACCTGGTGAAGAATCTGTGCAGCATCTGAATCCAGCGTGGCTGGTTCAGTAGATCCTTCAGCCTGACTGGGCCTTCACATTGGCAATTAGCTTCTCATTTACCAAGTGGGTTTCAGTAAATTATGAAACACTCCTTTGTACTCTTCTTCCTTCATGTCTAATCAAGCAAAATCCATTTTGAGAGGCTAGAGCAATTTGTCATAATTTTATTTTAAAATCGGTCACTCGGAAACAGGATGTAGTCGGAGGAGAACTTACTTGTGGAGTTGCCACTTAATGGTGAAATAGGAAGTTGCAGGGTGATCGAGTAGTTAGAAAGTTGTCACATGAATTGCATGTTAATCATTGTGTCTTTTTTAATTATACATCACTGATTTGAGAAACATTAATTTGTGATATAAGTGGAGAACATAGACTATGTGGTGCTGATCACATGAAGTTTATTATTCAGTATCAACAATGTGCAAGTAGAGCAAGAAATACGTACCTGCAATGAGAAATTTTTGAAGGATCAGTTGTTCCTTTCTATGTTGCTAAGGAGGAAATCTTAAATTGCTGTAGAAATGAGAAATTAGGAGTTTTTGTAAAGAAGTGTGTTAATACTCTGGAAGTCTGTGATTGATGTTGTCCTTATCAGTAATTGCCTGTCTCATGGAAGACACACAGAGCTGTTGCTAGTCTCACTGACGGGGCTGTTTGTGTTCTTGGGAGGGGAGAGGAAGGTAGATCATTGCTGATCGCACAATACCGCCCTTGTTACATAAGCAGGGATCCAAACGCCCTGTGAAGATACCGACGTCGGATAACCCACCTCTGTTAGTGTTTGGCAACTCATGCTTGGGCTGAGCCACGTAACAGTGCTATTGTGCTTCTCTTCCTTCAGGAGACATTGAAAAAAAGTATCACTTGGGTGTGAGTCCGCTGTGTGATCGACAGACAGAAACTATTGCCAACATCCAGATTGGTAACTGTGCTTAAATTTATTTTGCTGGATTTCTTTTAGGATGCAATTCAAAAAATAATTAAAAATATTTTTACATTTTACGTATGTTCGCTGGATTTCTTTCAGGATGCAATTCGAAAAATAATTAAAAAAAAATATTTTTACATTTTACGTATGTTTCCTAGAACTTGTACCTAATTTGTCTGTGTTAGGCAGCACTTAACTGTGCGAGGAACAATTTTTCCTTCTTTGCTGTAACTTTTTCTCCTTGGTTATAGTGGTTATGAAAGGCGCCGCACTGACAGCGGTGGGGACTGAAGGCTCTCACCAAACAGGAATGGGAATCCAATATGTAGCTTTTCCCATGTTCTTGCTCAGCTCTTGCCTCATCCGGACTGGCCCTCCTGGGAAGAGGAGGCATCTTCCTTCCCTTCAGGCTCTGGGGTCTTTTGTAACAAATTTGTCAAAAAAGGGGTTCTGGATGATTTTAGCTTTCTGGAATGTCAGTATTCATTTTAAATGTGGACCAAAAAAGGGGCAGGGACAGAGATTTGATGCAGGACCACGAGTTACCATTATACTATCTTCTGCTTTTTGCCAACTTGAATTAGATTTATACTAGTGCAAGGGTTGATTATTATTTACTAGAGTTATTTTTTACACAAAATTGTTTTGTATATAAAGGGGTCTGAGATAAAAAAGAAAAAAGAAAAAAGTAAAGAAAATAAGAAGTTTAACCTCCCACCTAGTATGAATTAATGCTTCAAATTAATCTGAACAGATGAGGTTTTTTGTTTCTATCAGCTGCACCATTTTAAATTAGAAGCTGTTAATCATACGTTTTTGTAATTGACAGCTTAAAGCAAGCATGGCTTTGATAGTTTTACCATTGAATTTGGTTCATGGAAATAGGATTTATAAATAGGCGAACCCCCACACACATACACGCATACTCTTATATAAAAGGCTATAAGGCTTTAGAAGGGACTAGCTTGTCAGATTGTTTTTTCAGTACTTTTAATGAGCTTAAAATTGTGAAACAATCTATTTTTTTTTTTTGCCTATGTAAAATAGTTCAGCTTATGTGTGATAGCTTGTTAGGAAATCTTTTTCTTTTAGAGATTTAAGTTTTCTAGACTCCTTTGGCTTTGTTTCTGATATTTCTTTCCCCCACATTCTCCGGTATTTCCCCTCCTTTGGCGATTGTTCTGAAATGAAGGGCGTTAATTTATAACCAATATGATGCCGCTGTTTTAATTGTAAAATCTTCTACATTTTGAGAGATTGCTTTTAAGCATACTGTAAATGTTGAAACGAATTTTCCAGCGCAAAGTGGAGGCCGCCGTGCAGCCGTTGCCGCTGGCCTCCGTTGGCGCCCCTCAGCCGCGCGGTCGCTCTCCCGCTCGCTCCTCACGCGCCTCTGCTCTTCCCGCAGGCTTCATGACGTACCTGGTGGAGCCGCTCTTCGCCGAGTGGGCCCGCTTCTCCAACACGCGCCTCTCGCAGACCATGCTGGGCCACCTGGGCCTCAACAAGGCGAGCTGGCCGCCCGAGGTTTCGCTGACGTGGTAACGTGATGCCAGCATTATTTATTTCCCGATTTTCCTTTGACAGAAGTTTGAACCTGACGGGTTTTTTTTTAACTGCAAGATCTGAACATAGAGCAATATGCATATGCCTCAGTTGGGTTTTGTTTGGATCCCTGAATATGCAAAGCACAGCAGTGACTGAGCCTCGAAGGAACAGTACGAAAATTTCATTGCACCGTGGTTTTTTCTTTTGTTTTGTTTTTGTTTTGTTTTCTTTTTGGTTGTTGTTGTAGTTTTTTTGTTCGTTTGTTTTGTGACATTTGAAATATGGTCTTCAAATCCAAGACTTGAGATGGATCGTTCCACTTTCTCGGACTTGAACAAGACTTGGTAAATGTGTTCAAAGCAAACCTTCCACTCGGTCCCTGTTTTAATACGGAAATGTGAAGTGCCCATCCTCTGCTGCCTCTGGCAAGACTTGATGTTTACAAATGTACTCTGAAACTATTGGTTCTAGACTTCACCTTTGTGCATGGCTGTGAAGGAACCACTAACTTGGATATTCTTTTTTTGATTTTTTTGGAAGAAAAAGATCAAATCCGAGACTGCAGCTCTTGTTTCTTTGGATGCCAGAAAAGCCTCCCATTTGCCGTAATTTCGTTTGTGCACTGGGAACTGAGCATTCATCATAGAGCACAGCCAAGCTTTACTCCAGTGCTGTATGGGAATGCAATTTTTAAAAAGCAGAAAACACTTCTGAATTGGGGAAGGGAAGGGGGGGCGCGGGCGGGCGGG